TGTGTGTTACACTAGTGGAAATTCAAGATTTTTTTATATATATTACCTTTTAGAATTAAGAACTTAAAATTTGTATACTATTAAAATATGGATTATTAGCTTAGATGTTATGCTATTCTAATTGATGCAACATAAACAAAAAGTAGTTTAATAAAATTTTGAATGTAAGACACCAAATCCTTGTGTCATGCACAGTAAAGGGTTCTGGGACGATAGGGTTAAAATAAACAAGTCATGAGAAAACTTTTAAAAAATAGAAATAAATTTAGAGATGGCATTCGCATCATCCCTACATAATAACATAGGCAAGAATTAACATATAGCAATGTATATATGACTATTCAATCACAATTGAGTTTAATTTATCCTATTTTTTCAGTTAATATTCAACTTCACTGTGTACCTGTGCTATTATGTAGGGATGATGCAAATTCTATCCATACTATGTTGTTTGCATTGTTTTTGCGGATCGATATTTTTGAAAAAAGTGTTTTGTTTATTTGTTTAATATGTCTTGAAGATCATAATTCAAGCTTTTATGGTCAGTTGCAATTTTACAAGTTAATAGTAAATTACAGACAATTTTCAATTCATTAAAAATTAATTTAGTTTTTAATTGAACTATATATATTCACTTTTCATTAATGCATCAACCTTTTACTATTTCTGCAGTTAGAGATGCACTGTGTGAAACAATAGATTAGAAAATGGACCTTTAACCCGTTACTTGCTGTGGCCATTTTGTCTTATCATGAGGGCAAAATCACATTTGTGAATTGAAAAAAATTATAGAGAACTTATCTTTTATTGGATTTCAGATTTTATTTTTTTAAATAGTGGCATAACATTCAATTATTTGTACAAAATTGTATTTATTATTTAATGTAGTTTAAACAGGAATTTAATGAAAAAAACCCTAAAATATGTTTGAGACTGTAAATAAGCGAACACCAAGAAGAAAAGTTTTTTTCAAAATTTTTGAAAAATTTTTCCTTCCACTTCAGCACTGGTCCTGCCATCTATGATTGGTATCTAAATCTTTTTCTAGTCTGTTTTCTTTATAAAAACAGAGTCTGGGCATGTTAAATCTCAGTTGTAAAACTTTTAGCCAATCCTAGTCGAAGGTGTCAATTTCAGTACCAATTATTCCAATTGCTGTATCTCCCATTTGACAAATCATAGGATGATAAGCAAAGCACGTGACGAAACGTTGCTCTCTGGATTTTACAACATGAATCTGGGTGGTGCTTATTATAGTAACTGCCATTTTATGTAGAGGCTGTATTTAGTATTGGGCAATAGTACTTTTCTATAAGCGTTAGAAAACTTGTTTCTGAAAAAACTGCATGAGATGTATGTTTTTCTATAGTAGCTTAAGTCATGCTGCATCATATATCTATTTAT